TGTCAGAACAGATGAACAGGAACAAAGGAAAGGAGTCTTTTGGTTCCATTCTTGTATTTGTTTTTTAAGAGTAGATGAGACATGGAGGCAGCATTGTGTAAGACAAATAAACAAACAAACAAAAAGGGCCAAACAATCAAGAATTTTAAGCTCTTACTACCTAGTTGACTTTGGGTAAGTCTTCATTTATATTCTCTGAGCTTTGCTTTACCAATCTGCAAATGAGAATAATGCTGTCTATAGTGAAGATAAATGATAATGTGTAAAGGGCCCAAGTATCTAGAGATAGTCCTGAAGGCTGAAGGATCACAAAACTAAGCCTTCCTGGGCAATTAAATATCTAGTCTTCTAGCCTAAAGAAAACTGTAGACTTTTACAGGGATGATTTACTCTTTGACACTTGCTAATAATGCCTTTTTAAAATTTTTTTTGAGAAGTATTTTGCTATAGGGCGTGTATGCTCACCAGAAAGACAGAGACTGAAAGCAAGAAATCACCCCCTTGGGGAATGGCCACACTGCAATCCCTTCGCCTCCATTCTCCTCCTGGGATCTTGAGCACACACGCACACGCGTGAGTTTAAGCCATCAGGTCTGGGACTCGAACCATGATCAACCACATGGGAGTCCAGCAACATAGCCATTACACCATTTGCTGGTCCCAATAATGTCTTTTTTAAATTTACCTCTCCTTCTCTCCTTTTTCTTTGCTTCTTCTGAGAGACTCTCTGCCATTGAGTTGTTCATTTGCTTCTCCTACTACTCATTATTAAAGAGCATAAGCTCTCTATGTAAAAATCACATATCACAGCTAAAAAGACCTGACCTATTTTACTGACAGGAAGCAATTTGAAATTTTAATATACTTACCATGGGCATGCTATGATTTCACTAATCTAGGAAAAGGATACACTGCTCATTAGTTCCAGTTGGTCTTTAGTTAATTGTACCCTATATAAAGTCAATTTCACCTACTGGAGGAAAGTTCAAATATTTCTTGGAATGTTTTAATTGATATTTCTCTAATATGCTACTTTATCCATCTTTGATGTGTAGGATATTCACTGGTTCAGGAGTGATTAGTAAACAGGCATTTCATTGACTTAATAATTATCCCCATATCAGGGTATTGTACTGATATAGCCCCATAATGATATCCATAGACGACACAAAGCTGAACTTACTCGGGTATCTATACACGTATTATTCTCACATCTACTCAAATATTTATCCACATAGAGTAAGCCACCAGAGAGTTGATTACAAAGGTGATGAGACTGCTGACTTGGTAAATAAGAGGTGTTTGATTGGATAGAATAATGAACTAGGGGAAGATGGAGTTGATAGTAGAGGATAAGTAGCAAACCAGCCAACTGAGCTAACTCAGGTTCCTAATAATATCAAGCTAGCTTTGAATCTGAGACTTTTTTCTTACCCCTGTAGGGATCTAGGTAATATGTATTTGAGCCAGAGGGCCTACCTCAGCATCCCACGAATCACTCTAAGTAGATATTAGATGGGGTGACACTTCTCCTTTTTAACTCTACCAAACACATTCTATGCTTCTTGTCCTTGTGGAAGTTGTTGGTGTTTTTCATTAGTTTGTTTTTGGTTTTGTTTTTATTTTTAAATTTCTCTTAAACATTCAATCACTATATATTACTACAGCTTATAGAGTGAATTTACCCAAGATGAATACACTTCACACTAGTCCAGTTGAAGATACCATACACATTATCACCAACAGATAGTCATCCATTTCTGTATCTTGGTTCTCTGCTTTTCTCTTTGATTCCCTACCTCTCATCTCCCCCTTCTCCCACCCCTTTTCACACTGTCTCTAGTGCCAGTGGTGTTTTAAAAAATTTTTCCTATCCTATATTATTTTTTTATTCTTCTTATAAAACATCAACTAATGGCATTGCCACTTTCCTTTGCTTTCCAGTAATGATATAATGTAGCTTAGAAGCACCAGGGCTAAGCTATTCTTTTTTGTGTAGTGTCTCATCTAATTCCCCCATGAGTTCATTTTCAGCCTGTCCTCCAAATCATTTGCAGTTTTGATCCAGTTGAATCTCAGTCTCTAAAAGCCCTTCTTTCTCTCATGCATTATTTGGCCTAGGACTTAGAAATATTTTCTTCTAAGACTTCATATCTTCTTGACTTCCTGGCTTGGCTTAGCCAAATATGCCCTTTAATGAGTTGGGCTCCTGTTTGAAAATCCCATCCCAGAAGAACTGTCTTTTGAATATTTCAATCCTAGAATCTTATAGATTGTAATATCCTTAAAGATCATCCTGGCTGGGTGAGGCAATCTGTTCTTCTGCATCTGGGTGAGGGAATCTAGCTAATTAATTTCTGAAGAAACTCTTGCTAGTGTTGAGTAATCTTTATCCATTCACACATTTATTTATTCAGTTAACAGACTACAATCTCTGAGAATGCCTTCCAATTACCACTTTTTTTTTGCCCGATCTGCTTGATAAATCCCTTTCTCATCCTTTAGGTCCCAGCTCAAAATTACGTATTGTATTCTATAGGTTATGTCTGTTATAATTACCTCTTCCCACTTATTTGGAAAATGTGATTACTTCCTTTGCTATAAATCAAGAACATGCATCTCATAGCACCTAACACATAGCATTATACTTCATCACATATCTGCCTCCCATTCCAGACTGTGAACTCTGTACACTTAACTCAGACCTGGGTACATGGTATATGCAGTCAAGATGCATAATTTATTAATTCATTTACTGACTATTGCCTATGTAAAGCTCAATGCTGAGTAATCTAGAGAATGAGATGACTAAAACAACATCATTAATTCATATGGAGGCAGAATAGTGTAGCACAGCAGTTGTCAAATACAAACATGCATCAGAATCATCTGGAAGGCATGTTAAATCACAGATTTTGGGGGGTTCTACTCTGAGAGTTCATGATTCAGTAAGTCTGAGTGTGGTCCAAGAATTTGCATTCCTAATAACTCCCCAGATGCTTCTGATGCTACTAGTCCTGGGGGCACACTCTATCATTTACTATCTTGTGTCCCTGGACAAGTTAATTAACCCCCGTGCCTCATCTGTCATTTGTTTTCTACTGATAGGAAATGATAGTTGTACTCAGGTGCCTGAGGGTTAAATGAGTTGACATTTGTAAAAGGAGATTTTAAAGGTACAGGAGGAGTACAGGAGGAGGGACCAGCAGATGGTGTAATTGTTGCATTGCTGGACTCCTATGTAGTTGACCATGGTTCAAGTCCCAGATCTGGTGGCTTAAAACTCAGGCAGGGTACATGTGCGTGTGTGCCCAAAATCCCAAGAGGAGAGTGGAGGAGAAGGGATTGTGGCATGACCATTCCTTCATGGGATGATTTCTCACTTTCTGTATCTCTGTCTCTCTC